CATTGACAATTGAAATGTAAGTATTTACTACCAGTCAAATTAGAAATCATATTTCCTTATTCCTTAACCCTAGCCAAGTGATCTAATATCTAGATCAGACAACTTCCCTCTTACCTGGTAATCCTTAGGTATAAAGTTATCAATAATAAGCATCTGAAGTCGAAGCTCCCGGCTAAGTTGTCGAATGTTCTCCAGTAAGCCTTCAATTTCCCTCTGATGTTCTTGCTGGAGATCAGCCATCTACCAGACAGTCAATGAAAATATTAAGGATAAACAAGATTTCAAATACAAAACAGTTCCATCTGACATAAGGTACTGGTCTAAGAAACCTTGTAAAAGCTTACCCAGTTCTCTCACAAAAGCAATGGACAGAATGACATATCATGACATGCATATTCATTCCATGTCTTCAGTTAAGGTTGGAAATAAATTTTATCTTTAGAATTGTAAGCATACATTATGATTCCTTTAGGATTCTTTATCATACTTAATCAAATTAATTATTTTTTAAAAAAATTCAGAATCACATTAGCAGGTGATTTCTAAAGACCAACCTCTGACTTTGCAGCCATCAGCATAGTCCAAACTTTCTTTAATTTCTTGGTCTTTCCCTGAGCTTCCTCTTGCAAACTGGTGTATTTTTCTTCAATATCCAAGCGCTCTTGCTATGACAAAATTTAATAAACTTAAAAATAATTTTCTTCATTAAACCATAAATTCAATTTTTTAACAAATATATTTAGCAACTATTATGTTTCAAAGTAATCAATAATCTGCTTTAAAATTTAATTGATACAGTTATCTAGCTTCTCGCTAGAAAAGTTTAGTACCTTAAGCAAAGAGTCAATCAAAAACAAAGTCACATTACCTCTTTTTCCTCAAGTTCTCTACGAAGTTGCTCTGCTCTTTTCCTCCTTTCTTCCAGTTCCATATTAGATTCTTCAAGAAGTTTCTCTTGTTCCTCAGCTTTCGCCAACAAATCAACCCCACCAACAATTACTTTCTTCTCCAGGGCAGATAATTTTTCTAGCAAAGACTGATGCTCTTGTCTGTTGATTAAAATGAGAATATCTACATCCACCAATTATCTACTGATCTACTAATATCATTTCCCAAAATTCAACAAGAATTTGGATGTAAAATTTCAAAGCAGGAATATAATTATGTAATATCTCTACCAAATTATATCACTGTGCAGTATTAATTCATGATTTAATCTATAACTAATTTAAATTCACTGATATTTTTTCCTCCCACATAGATGAAATAATCCAAACAGATTAATTTTTAGAAATGCAACACATACCATGAAACCTTTTATCCAAAAAGTGCCTCCTCGTGAGACAAAAATCAAGCTTTTTAGTTACTATTCAAGTTTCTTGCTTATATATCCTATGAAAAATGTGAGAAATTTAAATCATGAATCCATCTCAATTAAGTTAATACTCACTGGGCCTTAAGAAGATCTTTTTCCCGTTTCTCTAATTCTGCTCTAGCCTTGTTTCTTTCTTCCTCTTCCATGTCAAGCTTTGTTTCAAGTGCTTTTCTCTCTTCATCAATTTTTGCTTGCATTTCAACCATCTTATCTGGGGAGACTTTCTTTTTACCTATTTGAGTCATTCAATTGCAACAATCACTTTAGAATCAATGTTTCAGACTGGCATAAATTTTCTTCAATACACAAGATACATTCCTCAAAAATAAATATCAACATTTTAAGGAAATCAATTGAAGAATATATTTTGTATTTATTTAGCTGTATTTCTATTTATTATATTCCTAGATGAACTTTATAACCAATTGCTAAATTCAAAGTGCTGTCCAATTGTACAATCATAACTAAGAACAAAGTGAAAGAGAAGCAAAACAGATGAGCAAGAAAAAGGAGAGAGGAAGACTGATTAATGGGAAAGATAAAAAAATTAAAAAGCAAAGATCCATGTATCTCCAAATAACATACATGGTAAAAAAACTATGTTTATTTAGTTACTCTTTTTGAAAACCAGATACAAAATCAAGTGGTTTTTCAAAATACCTCCCCAAAATTTATTAAAATAAATGAGTAAAAAATATGGCTGGTAATTGTAGGTCTGCTTTTGTTATGTATCTGTATTCCTATTCTGTTAATGTGTGTACGCAATTAGTAGTTTGTTAAAACCTATACATGCTTATGTTACTCTACAAGAAATTATGTCAAAGAAATAATCAATTTTCCCATGTTTTCTTCCGTCTGCTACTTCTATAGCTTTTCTTCTTCCTTCCTAATTACAACCCTTTAGTAGAATTCGTGCCTCAAATCGAAAATTACCGAGTATCATAATTCTTCCAAGTGGTAAAGATACCTCAAGACAAATGCTGGGCATAGAAGCCACAGGGCATAAATCTGCAAAGAAGTAAGAAGCTAACCTTTTCAACAATATGGCTTCTCTCTCACTTACCAACTTTACATCTCCCTGTATGGCCCCGGAAGACGGCTGGTTAGCCAGAGACGGGTAAGATTCCTCAAAGGAGGAACAACCTAAGACAGCAGTCACAGGGGGGCCATCAGGTGAGAAATTGGGGATCGACAGAGGTGAGGCTTAGAACCTCACCCCCCGTTTTGTGAGAAATCTTCTGCATCTGTGGATGTTTTGTTGCCCTTGTCTAGCTTGGATTAATACTTAGTCTATAGGCACAGACTTGATCATCTACATTTGCCCTCCTACAGCACTAAATTATGTTTTCTTCCTTTATCTTGCTTGCATCTACCTACCACTTCAGCATTTTATTAAAAAAAAAAATTAGGGAGAAATGTGGGATTCACATATAAATCAAGTATAAAAATCAAATGAATAATCATATCTGACTTGATTGTTTATAGTTCATGATGCGTGATCAAAACCGAAAGTTTCTGTGATGACTGCCCTTGCACTGTTCACCATGTAAGAACTTATTCACTATGTAAGAACTTGTTCAACATGTAAGAATTTGTTCGTTATGCTTCAGAAGATTGGAGACTGTTGAGAATTAGGCTTGGGGTTGATTAATGATTGTGCATTGAGTACCCTATACAGAATTTTATTGTTGTTAACAACCATTTGATCAATAAATATGAGAGATGCCCTCTCAAAAATAAATAAATAAATAAATAAATGAGTAAATAAAAGTCACATACTGGTAAAAAAAAAAATGCACATAAAAATATCAGGCAGAATTTGTATAAAGTAGTTTTAATAGATATCTTCAGTTTTTCTGAAATTTTTGTTTAATAAAATTACATGAAAGCACTCTATTTCATAGTATATACTTTTAAAGGAAAGAAAATTCTACACAGTAATTAACCAGGCATTTTACAGTGCTAAGCTGTCATGACACATCATATCTTAACTGAATAACTAACATAGATCATTTTCATGTCAAACTCAGGATCCAAAATCTCCATAAGCCAATTAAACATGCCAAGTGTCAAACAAAAGTAGAAATACTACCAAATAATAAAGATGAAAATACAGGTTCCAGGTGATCATTTTGATTATGTCTAATAGAGTGTTTTATATACATAAAATAGATGTTCAACAAAAGTTTACTGAATGAATTTCAAAATCATGAAATTAAAATGAAAAACCAAAAAGAGAAAATAGAAACTAGCTTATTAAAGAGGTTATGAAACCACTTATGAAAGACAATTCATTTCTGGTAATACAATTTCTTTGAAACATACTTTCCTTCAGAAAAACAATCAAACTTTTCGTAGAATTGGTCTCAGGCTCTCCTGAAAGCTTTTTGTCATTCTTAACTTCCTTCCCAAAGGACCACAGAAGAGTACAAACCAGAAGAGTTTACAAATTGTTAATGTTTCCACCCGGAAGCCAACCCCTCCTGCTACCAAAAAAAGAGAACTGAGAAATGATGAGGGAGATATATTACATATCTGAATATATCCTTTCAGGAACTATGAGACAAAGAATCATTCATATAGGCTTTAATTCTTTATGATAAAATTATATTTAAAAATCCAAGAGTTTAAAATATATTATCCTTCATTTCTATAGAAATATAAGACCAAAGCAAACCTAAGCTACGAAACAAAAGAGTAAATAAAAGCAGTGATCCAAATGCATACTTTGGTGTGGTGTGATTAATTGCATTCCAAAAGTCAGGATACAGGCCTGATTCTGGTGGCTTCTTTGGCAGTTACCTGTGTTGAACATTCTGAATTACACTATTAAAAAGTGATTTTATAAAGTAATCTAACTCCTATTCCCAATGAATTCCTAGAAACGATTTCCCATTGGTAATACTATTTCTCAGAAATCTGAAGGGGAAAAATATAAGTTCATGCATTAAAAATCATAACTTCCTTTCAACCTCAGAATTACAAATATTTAAAGAAAAAATAGCAAATATGTTAAGACAAAGACAAAAACCCTCTATGTTTGAAGATATGAACTCTAATGGTACAGGGGAAATGATCTGATCAACATGTATATTAATATTTTAGGCTTCTAGGGTTCTAATTGTTTTGCTAACAGTTAAAAAACACATAGTTTCAAAACCCATTAATGCAGTGAAATAAAAATATTTTATATGTAAAATACAAAAAGGACATGCCTATTGATGAATTACAACTATGTCTGAATTATTTATTCAAAAACATTCCAGTAATATTTTCAAACTGATGGTCTAGCAGTAAAAATCTTGTGCTCTTATAACATTTCCATAAAGATGGCCATGCATATACAGCTAGGTTCAATTTCAAAAGTCCAATATTTAACTACCATATTATTGTAACCAGAATTATACTAATAAATCATTATACTTCTCCCCAAATAATATTTTAAGCTAAATGTGAATATGTACCAATTCTCCTAACCAAGCACTTAAGAAACATGAGATCCAGGGACGGGAAAAAAAATGTGACATCAACCAATCAAAAAACCCTTCTTTAAGTATTGCCTAAGAGAATTTAGAACAAAATTGTAGTAAAGAGCTTAATGCTACTGTCACAGAGTATTTAATTAAGCCAAACATGAATAGTAATATTTTTAATTGTTCTTTGCTGAAGGTGAAATTTGGTAAGGTAAAGTTAAAAGGAAGAATTTCAGGGAAGTGTTAATTGGATTAATTTTGTTTTCATTACATGAGCACCAAGGCTTTTGATTCCTTGCTTTTAAAAAAGAAAAGAAAAATGCCTGAATGTGAAATCATTTATATTTATATTCCCAAAATTTGTCTTTAAGAATTTAGGAAAAAGATTATGCCATCTGGTTCCGGTGATGTGTTTATTTTTGTCTACTTTGTTAATTAAGTCTGGAACATCCCATGTGTTTGTCACTGTCACTCTAATATTTCTAAATAATTCCCCTAAAAAAATCATTTGGAAAACTAGAATGTTTCTAATATCTTCCTCAATAAAAACTGAAATAAACATTTTTTTGAGAAAAAGGAAGTTTTTTTCTAAATACAAAAGATGGATACTTACCTCATAAAAAATTCTCAAATTAAAAAAATGTAACATAGTTAAATAAAAAGTTATTTATAGTTTAATTAATTTTACAACATGGAGTGCAAATCAATCACACCAACCTGCTTGGTCTTTCAATAAGAAGTAGTAAGCAAATCGTAGACAGGAAGCACATGCACAGAGATGAGGAGGAAAAAAGAAAAACATTATTTCTCTTGTAGAATAAAGAAAAATGTATAATAGCATTTATTTATAAGTATAGAAATAAATCATTATCAAAATTGAAATACAGCAGTTGTATTTAAAAAGAAAAGCATATTCATCACAGAGATGTAATTTAAACAAGGATAATATGAAGATTAATTTAGTCTAAGATTACAATTCAAATCAATCTCAAGAGTTCACACGGACTCCCAAACTCCTGCACATATAATTCAGCACTTTAGGTTATACTAACGGTAGACATGGGTTGGAAACTTGCTAAGACCTGGGAAGTAATCTAACAGCGTAAAACAGGAAATTATGCCAATTAAAAAAATTAGTACATTAGAAGTAGCAAAATTCACATTGTCCATTTTCAAAATTCCCCAATTCAATGTTCCTCTAATATAAGGATCCATTATAGGTGTGTCCTTTAAGAAAATCCAACACAAAACTTCAATCAACTAAACACATAAATTAGATTGTAGTAATTTGCAGTGATTACTTGATTAACAAAAGGATTTAGTGAAGTTTTTAAAGATGACAGTAAGCTCTTCCAACATATTTTATTTTCCACCTTGATTTATAAGAGTTTTTTCAGAAAAACCACTTGTTGCATAAAGTCAAGTACACCTGTATAATAACAAACTTGCATTCAATCTATTAGTACATTGTTAAGATTAATTATAATAATGATTCTACAGAGGTAGATGATCAACTGATGACTCAAGCAAAGAATAGAAAAGAAGGCCATTCATATTTTTAAAAGGAAAGATACAGTTTGCAACAACATGGATGGAGCTGGAGATAAGAGAGTATTATGCTCCTTGAAATAAGCCAGGTGGAGAAAGACAAGCACCAACTGATTTCCCTCATTTGTGGAGTATACCAGCAAAGTAAAATTGAAGAAACAAAACAGCAGCAGACTCACAGACCCCAAGAAGGGACCTGTGGTTACCAAAGGGGGGGGGGTCGGGAGGGAGGGAAAAGGAGAGTAAGGGGCATTATTATTAGCACACATAATGCAGCTGGGAAGCACCGAGAAGACAAGTAGTGACTCTGTAGCATCTTACAATGCTGATGGACAGTAACTGTATTGGGGTATGTGGGGGGGACTTGGTAATAGGGGGTGAATGTAGTAACCACAATGTTGCTCATGTGAAACCTTCACAAGATTGTATATCAATAATACCTTTATAAAAAAAAAAAAAACACCTTTAAGTTTGCCGTAAGTTTAGACAGATCCTTCATAAGCACCTTCTTATTAATTTGAATTCTCTAATCAGACCTTAGAAAGTTTCTTAAAATCAATCAGGTAATTTAGAAATAGGGATGGCCATTTGAAATAAAGTACTCTTCAATCTTCCTTCACTTGCTTCAAACTTTACTTTTTTTTAAATTTGGAAGCTTTTAATTTTAAATTACCCCTAAAATATGACACCTTAGCGTCAAATCTTTATAACTGTAAAACATGTTATAATGGGCACTAGTGTACTTCTAGGAATTCAGAATTTGCTATTACATGTCCCTTATACTGACTAGGATTAGAAATGTATCAGGAAACACAACAAACGAACCGAAAGAATTATTATTTTATACAGCTTACTTGCTCTCTTTACATTATCTCAATTGCAAAAGCATGAATCTCTCTTTCATTGTCTCAAACATAAGCTTAAGCATATGTTTTAACAACTATGGTTAACTGGAAGCAATGAAGAGGGCGGAAGTCATCACATGCTTTGTTCTTCTGAGAAATCCAACGCGTGTTCTTTAAAGACAGACAGCACGGCGCAGAGTTTCTCCGACAAAGCCCCTGGGCTAGCGCTGGAGTGTTTGAATGCCCCCACTCGCTAGGAGGGACGCATCCGGAGGCCTCTCTAGGGCAGAGCAGGTGGCGCCCACGCTTCTGCTGCTGCCCAGAGGGAACCAAAGGCCAGGGAAGGAGCACAAGACAAATGCAGTTCCAGAGAAAGATTTTAAAGGACAATCAAGCTTTGTATTAAAGAACCAAAACTTATTTTCCCTTAAAACCAGTTTGGTAAATGTATTCATAGTCTCTCACTACAAAGCCACAGGGGAATTAGAAACTGTATTCTTTCAAGCATCTACTATGAGCAAACCCCACTATTCACCTAAAACATAGTAATTCAGGGGATTGGAATGACAAGAATAAAAAGTAAGTCATTTGGTGACATTTAAGTCTATTTAAGCTATTTAGGTTGATAAGTTAAAGGAACTGAGTTTTAAATTTAAAGTCATACACAGTTAAACTACAGGAATGATAAATTGCTCTTCACTTTAGGTCGGTTTGTCTCCAATTTCACTCTTTTCCCTTCAAAACATCAGATATAATAATGTATGTTTAAGGTTTCAAGGCAAAATTGTGAGAGGCTCATTGAAAATTAAAAAATTTTCTAAGCCTAGAAGGAAGGTATTTTACTATTAAACATTTTAACATATTAAGCAGTAGCATTTTTTTCTATTTAAAATTTTATTTTTAGTAAATCTAGTAATTGCTTTAGCTTTGAATAGTGCATGAAAAAATAGGTATGAACACAAAACCATTTCTCTAAATCAAGGGCCAGCAAACATTTTCTGTAAAGGGACAGATAATAAGTGCTTTAGGCTTTGTGGGCCATATAGTCTCATGTGAAAGAAGCCATAGACCATATGTAAATAGGAGCATGGCTGTTTAAAAAAATTTTATACACAAAGCTAGTGGTGCACTGGATTTGGCCAGCACACTGTTTTCTGCCAACTCCTGCTCTAAATCACTCTTTTCCTATCTCTTGAAGTTATAGAATCTTTATAGTTTATAAATCTGGGACTCCTGATCAAGCAGTGATGGGTTTATTTTCAGCAAGATCATTTTCATAAGACAAGCAAAATATGCACTAGCTTGAAAACAATGATCCACATTAATGTTAGAGAGTTCTGAAATAAATACATAGGGTAAAAGGCTTTGAAATACAGACGATTATAATTTGTCTCTCTCCCTCTTGCATATTATCTATATGTTTATCACAGTCAACATAATCTTAATTCACACTTGGCAACAAATGCCCCATAATAGAATAAGAATTAGAGTACATTTTATAATGAAAATGAAATTAAAATACAGAATCTCCAAATTTCTTACTTGAAAACTTAGACTTCTAAAGCCTAATCATGCTTGAAAAAAATTCTGCATTATCCTAACTTCCTAAAAAATTGAGGTTCCTAACAAGATGAAAGTCCCCACACAAAATTAATACTCTACATGAAATCTTAAAATGGTATATCCATTATCACAGATTTTTACAATTCTGAATTCTAGGATAAAAAAAACAACGTATGGCATTCTGATTCAGCTATAAATGGGAGATCAATATAGAAGAAAAAATAACAGTTAATCAAGCATACAGCATACTTCCTCTGTTCAAATTGCTACAGTAACTAAAAATGGCAAAATAAAAGGTGTGTACTCAATCGCCTTAGTAATGTTAAATTATCATTAGGTGGCAATTCCAGTTAATTTCTAGAACACAAAAAAGAACTTACCCCTCCTTTTTTTCCTTTTCTCCCCATCTTCTCCAATCTCACCCTCTTCATCATCATCCTCCTCTGAACCACTGATATCAGAGCCTGATATTTCTTCTCCTTGAATATAAGTTTAATACAATGATTTTTATTTGTAACATGTCATTGGCTATTTAGAATGCCTTTATCAACTTTTTATTGTCCTAAATAAACCTTATATTAGTATTCCTAGACATTATGTCAGGTATGCAAACTTCAGAAATAGATATGATATACACAAAAGCTTTATTTTTAAAGTTCCTAAAGAGAAGTTAAATTTCAATCCATTTAAAATTTCAAATGATCAATTTAATACAGTTCTAAACAGATATAAAAATTACATGTTGGAGTTACTGTTTCAGTCTTTTAATAATCTGATCACTTTTGGAGACCATTTTCTCCTTGGTTTTCTGTTTTAAGATTTTAAATAGTTCATTCAACCTGCATATTTTTTAAGAGCCATAAAAATGTCATTTTAACAAAGTGATCCTACTTTTAGGACCATATTATAAGAAATTCATTAAAGAAAAAGGGCTGATTTGTACAAAGATTATGTTAATTTAAAAAAACAAAAATCAAATAAAAGGGAATAATTAAGCTAATATTAATACAGATCAGTACTATATTACCTTCAAAGTAGTTAAAAATACTACTGTCCACACATGAAATGTCTAAGAAAACAAAGGTAATTGGGAAAAAAAGTAAAATATACACCAATCACAAAGCTATATTTGAATTTGTAAATAAAGAAAGGAAAAAGATCACAGAGTCTTTGGAGAAGGAATTCATTAAAATATTTTGTTCTTCAGGCCTAGAAACAAAGGCATCTTGGTAGCAATGAGCACACCTACTGCCCTAGTCTTGGTTTCTAAATACCATTCTCCAATGAAAGGAACCCAGGAGAAACAGATGACTTTAAGGCCTGGGTAGGAAAAATACAGGACCTTTGTATTAGCCTCAAAGTATCTCCCCATGATACATATGTTAATTACATAAGAAAAAATAAAATTGTAGATCTATAATGGAAAAACCTTGCAGAATTATTAAGAGAACTATAGACAAGCCCAAATTGAGGGACATTCTACAACTATATGACTAGTACTCTTCAAAAGTTTCAAGATCACAAACAACAAAGAAAAACTGAGGAAATGCAGACTGCAGGAGACTAGGAGGACATGACAACCAAATGCATTGTATTCTACATTGGATCCTGAACTAGAGGAAAAAGGGCATTAGAGGAAAAACTGTCAAAATTTTAGTAAGATCTATAGATTAGTTGATAAGTTTGTATCAATGTAAATTTCCTGGTTTCAGTAATTGTACTATGATTATGTAAGATGTTAATATTAGAGGAAGCTGGGTGATGACTATATAGGAACTCTATATCTACAAGTTTTCTATAAATCTAAGATTATTTCAAAATAAAAAGTTAAAAAAACTATACTTTTAATGTTTTGCCTACTTTTTTATTGTTTATATGGTCAACTGTACTAACCAGATTATAGAATTCTATTAACTGGATTATAAAAACAAATGTCAAAAGAACATAAACAAAATGAAATGTGTTAAAAATAAAGTCAGCATTACCATATGATACAGCAATTCCACTTTTGGGTATATACACAAAGAGTTGAAAGCTAGGACTTGGACAGATATTTGTACACCCAAAAGGATTATTATTCACAACAGTCAAAAGGCAGAAGCAGCCCAAGTGTTCATCAATGGATGAGTGGATAAACAAAATGTGGTATATACACACAGTGGAATATTATGCAGTCTTAAAAAGGAAAGAAATTCTGACACATGTTACAATATAGATGAAACTTGAGGACATTATGCTAAGTAAAATAAGCCAAACACATATGACGTGATTTTACTTATATGAAGCGAATAGAAGAGTCAAATTCATAGAGATAAAAAAACAGAATAATGGTGACCAGGGACTGAGGGAGAGAGAGGAATGGGAAATTACTGTTTAATGGGTACAGAGTTTCATTTGGGGATGACTGAGAAGTTTTGGAGATGGATGGTGGTGATGGTTGCAGAACATGTGAATGTACATAATGCCACAGAACTATATACTTTAAAATAGTTAAAATGGTAATTTTATATTAAGTATATTTTGTCACAATAAAAAAATGTAAAAAAAAATAAAGTCAACAAAATAAAGGTATGAACTCCACTAATCTAATTAAAAATATTTAAAACATATTGACTAAAATACCACCTAGTGGTCACATTTAAAACACCAAATTTCATTATCTAAGAGGCACCTCAATTACTACTTTTTCTTGATAATCTCACTCAAGGTTAGTGAATCAGTACCTTCTCCAAACGTTTGTGATGTTGGTGTCTCTGGAATTCACATCTGATCTAACCAGTTTCCCCACAGACTGAAAAGAAGCAGTTTCAAAGCCCTCTGTTTTCCTGGTATGCAAAGGAGCCCCATGTGATCAGTTCTTCGCATGAAGAAACAGGAGTCACATTGAGCATTCCATGGTAATTAAGTTTCTCACCCTCATGAACAAGGTCTCAAACTTTCTAACCTTCTAACATAACTTGTTAGAATAACAAAACTTTGGAAAGAACTTCCAAAATAGAATCTCATGTTCAAATGTAAGTATGAAAGTGTATTTTCAAGGCCACGCAATTAATTTTTACCTACAGTAATCTTAGTTTACCCATGACTCTCTCAGCTTTCTTTACTTCAAACAATAGTGACTGATATGTATCATAAAGAATCCTGATTATTTTCATCTAAATACATACATACATACAAATATATATACATACACATGGTAGAACTTGCTCTTATACAGAAACAAATAAAAATTCAGTATTTAATAAGTGATCATATGAAATCCTCAAAAGGTCATGGGGAGGTTTAAATTAAATGAATTTTTAAAATCATATACATAAATATTACATAATTTTACCTGAGCTTAATATGAAAATGCTAAAGTATATGTGTCAAATTACCTTACAGAAATGTTTCTTTAAATATTAATGTTTGAGGCTCAAAGAATTTTTACTAGGTGGTTTTTATTAGAACACTTAGTGGTTAAGCAACATACTTTTAGCCAACATTAAGGTTAATATTTTGAGGAAAAGTTACCTTCTTCAAGCTTTTTTTTCAGTTCTTCTATTTCTTTCTGAAACTGACGAAGCAAAGCATCCTTTGGATCTTCATTAATTCTAGCTTTATTTTTAATATTCTTAGCACGGTTAGCATACCGTAACGTACTGATAGTTTCATCATAATTGTAATCTGCTGGCCCAATATTTGCACACTGTTGAATTAGAAATACAAAGCTAAACAGTCGACACTTGATACAGTTAAAATCAATACTACCATTATGAATATACCAAAAAGAATTTTTGAAGCACATTTCCACTCTGACCTTCTTGAAAAAGAAGACATCAACCACATGGATTTCCAAGCAACACCATTATGGACCAGTACACATAAAGAATAACCACATGTCAAAAAAAATAAAATTGTTTTTAAAGTGTTATGCACATCAATTATTGGCATAAACAGAAATCTTAAATTCATCTGATGATAAATATACCACCTATTAAGTCTTACCATCATGGTTTTTGAATTTCCTCCCAAAGAATCCTGAAGAAGACGAGTCAATTTGGAATTACGATATGGCACATGAGTGCTTTTTCCATCAACCAAGGCAGAAATTACATTACCAAGGGTGGAAAGTGAAAGATTGATTTTTGTAGCTTCCTTTAGGCGTTGTCCAGTAGCTCCAGTTTTTGCTTGTCTTTCTGAACCCTAGCAATAATCAGAGACAGAAATAATGTAACGATAAAAACTATACAGAATTCTTCCCAAAGTTAAAAATATATATTTTTTAACTAAAAAAATCTAATGTGATATCTGGAATTCACTTCAAGACAGTACAGGATGGGAGGAAGTGGCTGAGGGTAGAAAGGGAACAGGACAAGCTATGAACAATTGCTGTAGTTGAGTAATGGTTCATGGGAGATCATTATACTACTCTATTAACTTCTGTATAGATTCAAAATATTCCTTAATAAATAATAAGTTAAACACATAAACAAGTAAGCAACTTAAAAGTCGTATTAAATCACAGCTTTTCACTTGAATTTTTATTCATTTATAAAATACAAAGAAAACAAGTTATTTCTTAATAGTATCCTGTTACTTACAGCAAGATCTACAAGATGGAGCTTCCCCATCCTGACATGCATGTTACCATCAATGCCTTTTTCACTGCATTCTATAGTAATTGTAAAGATGGCATGGGATCGGGAACTATGTTCATTCATATTAGTTGCACCAACAGAACCTTGAATAAAAGGAGGGAAATTCTTTAAAAGTATAACAATAGGGAGTGCCTTTGAAAATAATTAAGTACCAGAAATGGTTTAAAATACTTAATGTCATAACAGCCAAAGCCAGAGATCATGACTAACCCATAGAAGCATAGGTTTATTTAGCCATTATTAGAAATTTATCAGACAATTTATGCTGATAACAGAAGAATTTGTCATATTAGAAAGGTAGTTTTAGGACAAAAGAATTTCAATCACAAGTATTACTGACTACAAAATACTAATTTGAAAAATTTCAGCTCTTCCAACTGTCAAAAAATATTATGTTCTGGGACTCTAAGCCACAGAAATACTTGCACATTTGTATTAGATGATAACAGGATATTCAGTGCAGCATTGATCACACAGTGATAGATCAGAAGCAACCAAGAGGACAGTGGTTAATCTATCAAGGATTACTAAGTAGTCCTTTAAAAAAAAATAAGATAGATCTGTATGACATGGAAAGACATCCGTAACATATGAAACAAAAGAAAAAGTTAGAGAGGAATACATAACCCAATTTGTGTAAAACAAAAGCATCCATTTAAAATATATTAATTATTTCTGTGTGTGTAAATATTGCACATGAATATATTGTATGAACAAAGGAAAAGGTCTGTTTTTTTTTTTTTTACTATAGGCACATAATGGTTTTATTCTTAAATTCCAAAGTATTTAAAAAGCACTAGGTTAATTTTGCCTAATGCCAATAACTTCTCCATGAAAGCTTTGATACTAGAATTTAAACATTAAAAGGGTATTCTGTATTAGCATATGGCTTTATTAGAAGCCAGACAACTAGAATGTAAACTGCACTGATTAAGAAAAGTCAAGTCCAATGAAAGAAAGTAAATGAAAAATCAGTGAAAGAAATGCAATGATCTGTAGCTCTATATTGTATTTTTCTATGTTCTTTTAAATCAAATTATGAATTTATGTATTTTTTCCAATAATTAAAAAAAATACTAAATCTGATACGTCTTTGAATCATTTGATCAGTAGTGATACAGAAAAAATTTCCAGAGTATTGGATCTTATTTTATCTTGTTTTTTTCTATTTAATCTCATCTCCTATGATTATTTCCCTGTAAAAAACCTGAAAATTTTACCAAAACTGATTTCGCTATTCCCTCACTGAGAGAGATTTGGGATCATTTCCCATTTCTGGTCCTCATAGGGAACACTAATATGAGCATCTCTGAGAAGATACCTTTCGTCCTCTTTAATCTTTAAGATTATTTCCCTGTGATGTCTTTTCCAAACTGGAATTACCAGGTCAAAGGTTAGGAGTAGTTTTATAGCTTTGTGATTATTAAATCACACTGTAGCACTATTTTTCAATTTGGACTGGGAAAGAACACAAAATCATATTAAATATTTTAATACCTATTGTTTTTGTAATTTAAGTAAAACATGCGGTTTAAATTTTGATTTTTCTATATTTCTGGTTACAAAAACAAAGCACTACAACAGACATGCTGTTAAAAAGTGACCTACATTGAACTTTACAATCCCTAGGAGACAACTTGCAGCAATCACATAGACTCAATGCTCCAATCTATTAACACATCATGTAATGGAAACAAAACAAAAAACATTCTCATAGCTTTCATTTTTGTCAAAATATTATTTGGGGATGAAAAATTTATTTGTTTTTCAATAGGATATAGAAAATTTTATCCTATAAACATGCCTGCATACATGTAAATTCATATATATATAAGAATTTTATTACAGTATAATAGCAAGACTGAAGACAACACTAAAGTCCATCAATGAAAGACTGGGTAAATAAATTACATAGATCCATCAAATTAATTACTATACAGTTATTTCTAAATGCCTACAAATGTACTAGTATGTGTTAGTGTGAAATGACCTCCAATATAATATCATTAAGTGAATAAAGTTTATGATTACCTGATTCATAAGGAAAGAGAACAAGCACTCTCTCTAAAAACACACATGCCTATGCACACATAGGCTATATCAGGAAAAGCACATGAGAAACTAGTTGCTACCAGGGATGGGAACAAGGTGACTGAGACACAAGGGTGGGAGAGAGACTTTCATGCCTTTTGAATTTTACACCATGTGTATGGATTACCTATTCAGAAAGATAATTTTCAAAGAAAAGGATTATGGTTTAAAGGTGGGAAAACACTGTCTGCAGAAATACTAACCAGTTTATAATGATGCCTATGATTTAAATATACCTAACTTAAATTTGCATTTTAGTTGCGATGTAGGCTATGTATGTGTTCCTGAGATGACTTATTTCTGAAGTGTAAAATTAACTATTTCTATACTATGACCACCAGTACAAAGTAGAAACTAGTTTTATATTTTTATCCATTTTTCATCTATTTATATTTGTAATAGCAGCTTTTATTGTCATATTCTCATCTCTGTTTTCCTCTTGATAGTTATTTTACGTATTTCAATATGATAAACTTTGTGTTTTTATGTTGGAACTTTTCGTTTTGGACATTGGTACTAAATGTCTTATTAATTAAGAATCTACTTATTCTTATATTCTACTTATTAGTTAAGAATATTACCCGTTCTCCTATTTTAGGTCTTTAAATCTCTTCATCTTTGTTTCATTTTACTTCTCATTAGATTTTTTTAGTTTTCTTTGAACAAGTCTCACATACCAAGTTAAATTAATTCTTAGGTAGTTAATGGGAGGCTTTGGTCACTACTATGAATGGAACCTTATGTTAAAAAATATTTTTAATTAAATAAGCAATACATGAACATATTCTGGTGTAAAAAAAGTAAAAATACAGACAAAAAACATAAAATGAAAGCTCCCTTCACCCCTTTTCCCAATTTTATTTACCCTCCCTTAAAGGTAACCACTATTAAATATCTTTTCATTTTATATTTCACATACACAGATGTGGCCACACACACACACACACACACACACACACAATGCCCAAATACATAGGTTAATATCTTGACTTTTTGGTAAATACATAAATGGGATAATGTAGTACATACTGTTCTGTAGTTTACTTTCTTTTCATTAACAACGTATCTTGAAAATCTTTCAGGTCCCTACATGTAGGTTTGACTCATTGGCTTTTTTACAGCTTCATTATAGTCCACAACATTTTTTGTACCATAATTTATGTAACTAACATTTTATTTATACTTAGATTGTATCAAACTTTTTGCTGTTAGAAGTAATGTTGTACAATAAGGCATTTATTTATACCTAAAAATATTTTTCCAGAATATAAATTTAGAATTTTAAAACACTGGGACAACAGGAATACATTTTTTGAATTTCAACACTGTTATACTGCTCTTCAAAAAGGCTATACCACTTTACATTCCCATCACCAGTGCCCATTTCTTCAGAACCTCACCAACCTAGATATCCTTTCATCCACACCAGTGGGCAAAAATATCTATACCACTGTTGTTTTAATATGCATTTTCCTGATTACCTGTGAAGTTGAATATCTTTTGATATACTTATTACTGCATATAGTTCCTCTGTGAATCATATATTCATACCTATCTTCTGCTTATTTTCCTGTTAAAATTTGGTCTTTTTCTACTACTTGGTTTATTAGAGCACAATTGGTTTTTTAAAATGTTTAACTTCCTTGAGTTTGCTAGATTTATAGTCTAGTCATAAAAACTTTAAAAAAATCTCTAATTGCTCTTAGCATCATCACTAGTACTACATTTGGGGCATCTATGTATTAAATATTGCTAAAGCTATTATTCTTTAGACAAAATTTGAAACAATTACTAAAAAGTGCCATTTTATTCGATTTTGTTTTGCTTTTCTTGTCAACAGAAGGGAAGCAGAATACTGTCTGGTTAATGCTGACGTATGGCCTAGGTCTAAATAGTCACTCTGTCACTTTTTAAGTAGTATTAACTTTGGAAAAGTTACCTAACTAGTCTTCCTTTACTCAATCATTAAAATATGACTTTAATACCTTCCATTGTGAGGATTAAAGGATATCATTTTTATAAAGCACTTGGCATAAGCATTTGCCACATAGTAAGTACTCAATAAACATTACCAATATTATTACAGCTGATAAGAGACTGAGTATTTCAAAGATATAGCACTATTACTAAATTTTGGACAGCATGGAAAGCAATCTGAGAGATCTTTCATTCATATATGCTCTCTAAATAGTAAAAAATCAGAGTAAGGGTTTTCAAGAAATCTAAAAATCCAGTATCTATAGGGCAAAGTGCCATACCAGTTCTGTTTCTAAACCAGCCTACTCAACGCATAAATGTTTAATCACAATTATGCACTACACTTACGATTCTTGTGGCCTAGTGTCATAATTCTATCCATATCATCAGCATTATTTACCACATAAGCTGATAAATCTTTGATATAAACTCCCACATCAGGTCTTTCTTTAACCTAAAAAAAAAAAAAAAAAAGACTTTACACATATATCCAGATTCTTCCCACAGGTATTTATTGAAACCCATGTGTTGGACACTCTGCCAGATGGTGAGGACACAGTAATGAACAAGGTAGGCATAGCCTCTACACTTGTGGAGCTGACAATCTACAGAAAGAGCATACAAGCAAATAATTATACACAAAAATCATTTTATTTCAATTGTGATAATGCCATGAAGAAAAAAATACAGGGCAGTATGAGAACACATTATAGAGAGACTTAATCTAGTTAAGCAGGGACAGGATAAATTTCCTCAAGATGATGTTTAAGACTTGAAGAAATCTGGGTTGGGGTAGAAGGAAAAGAGGATTGTGCAAGGATTGATTCTAAAATGGAAAAGAACTAGGTACTTAGAAAATATATAAAACAAACAAAGCCAAGATGGCTGGAAAGAATAGACAGCAGGGGGAACAGGTGGGGTATCCGGCTATAGGCGGTGGGCAGAGGTAAGTCGAAGCATAATTACTGGTCTTTAGCTTAACAGCAATTTGAAGCCACTGGAGGATTTCTGATAGTTGAGTGAAATAATTAGATCTATGGAATCCATGTAAAAATATTACCTTTCTGGGAGAAACCTTGTGAGAACCTTTACCAAATTTGAAGAATGTTTTGAGAATAGATTTGCCTAAATTAGATAGTTTTAGAAATACAAAATTCACTTCCCTAGAAGTTAAGTCACCCTATCAGTCAACAGAATAAAGTAAAACTGAGGCAGAGGCTTGTGGCTGCCAGGGAGGAGAGTCATTCCATAGGGACTAAGATTGCAGAGACAAAGGTGACAAAGTTTAAAAAACAATCCCAGACAAAAGTCACAAGGCCAGGCATCCCAAATTCCAGGTGTTGATCCTATGTCTAATTAAGGATTCTGGAGGTTCTGGTCTCTTTTATAACAATTTATAAGATATATTTATACATTAGGAAAAAATACCCCTTTTCTGTCATGAGAATATAAATTAAGCCCTAATTTTATTGGTAGTAAAGGAATGTGCTGGTCTTCATAAACTAGTGGGTTTCAAACTGTGCTCTTGTAACAAGCACAAGAGGATCTATGGTGGCATTGAGGGAGCTACTGTGGTAATCTGGGGGTTTCCAGGCCCTGACAAGCCCTAAAAAGTGCTTCACTTTCATGTATTTCACACACTGTGCTTCCACATGTGGTTTAGTTTGATGAAAGTGTTTAAGAATTACTAGTCCTTTCATACCAATGCTTCTCAGAAAATCTATAGTGAAGAACAATGTGTATGTTTCTAATCTGGCAAACTGGTATTTCTGAAAAATGCAAACATCATGCCCTCGGATGCCATGGCAATGTCAAATTACTGTAAAATTTTTAAGGCATTTACTCTCACTTTCTATGTTTAACTCATTGTAGATTGGAAACAAACATTTTTCAAACTGGCATCAGCATGCAAAGTCTATAGTTATTTACCATCACAATAGGATTATTAATGCAAAATTTAATTAGCAGATGTAAATAAACTGATTAGTTATAAAAGATGAAGAAACCACATATGATTCCACATCTATGAAAGTTTTAAAAATTAGGTAGTAATGCCATCAAAGAATTTTTATCATAAAGCATAGAAATTTAATTTCTGTAACAAATATGATTTACAACACTGAAACATGGACCTCAGTGGGGACAGTTACTCCCTCACCAAGAATGTTTTAGAAATTTGTGAATGGGTTTCTGGTTTACCTGAAGATGCTATCAGTACTCATAAGCAGGGGCCATGAATACTAAACATTCTGAAATGGGTGGGATGGTCTCAATCAATGAGGAATTGTCCCACACAACTTTGAATGTCCTATAAAGTCAAAGTGCTTTTTCATGATAATAATGCAGGAAATCTTTATTTTGCTCATAACTCTACCAAGAGCTAGTCACTATTTTAAAACACCATGTCACTGACAGTAACAGCAATCAAGGTGTTAAAATCACCAATACATCTGTAAGTGTTTGCATTTGTGGCTCTTGCAGTCATGACGACTATACACACCTCTGACTACTTCATTATGTCAGTGAACATCACATCTAAGAATTTATATAATGAAACACTAGTATTTTATTTTTAAACTACTTGTATTCTCTTTTATAGTATAATTTGGAAGTATATTGATATTTTTTACATTATGTGTGTAGGTAGATTTTATCATCTATGAGTTTTATTTCAGGATAGTCAAAGGGGCATTACAAAATGAATGTTGCAAACAGGCACTGGGTCTAATATGGTTGAGAACCACTGACAAGACTGTTTCTGAGAATAAATCTGATTTTTTAATTACTGGTACAAAGGTGGAAATGTTCTTTCTAAATGATTTTTATTCTAATAACCTGTGCAATAAAATGATAAACTTCTAAAAAGCAACAAAGTATTCATACAAACTAAAACAACAAAAAATAAACTTATCTCTACATTTTCTATGCACACATTATAATTATAGAATAAGCCTCAATAAGGTCTAAAAAACACAAAAAAATCCCTAACCCGTAATGTAAGGCTCCAAAACCTTATCTTATATATATAGTAAATTTAAAAATAAAAAAGCTAACATGTATTAAATGCTTTATTATGAGTCAAGTATTGATTTAAAATTTGTATTACTTTGTTAATGTTGCCAATAATCCTACGAAGTAAATACCATTATTTCCACAAAGCAAAACTAAGGCTCACAGAGGTTAAGTCATTTGCTCAAGAGATCAGAGCCAGAATTCAAGCCAAAATGGCAGGCCCTCAGAAACCACCTTCTTAATCCTAGATTATACCACCATTCACTTGCTACCTGATCTTAAGCAAGTCAAGAAATTCTTCTAGGTTTCAGTTTTCACATCAATAAAATTGAACTGTTGAGAAGATTAAATGAAATAAAGTATGTACTACTATGACAATTTATTGCACTGAATGCCTACCACCACATTATAAAAGCTTAGTAATAGTACCTGTTTGTTATTCCGCATGTATTCCATGCTATATCTTATTTTATTGTTATCCTACATACATTATTCTCTATTTTACTGACAATGCAATTCCAATCAAAATTCCAGTATTAATATTTTAAAGTTAATCTTTTCTTTATGTTTGTCTCATATCCTTAAGTATTAAAATATTTGAAAATATTTACCAATCTTTTACCACCTGACTTAACAATCCTGCTTCAGGAATTTATTCTCAGAAATGCCTGCTTATGTATGAAATGATATATGTACAGGCTATTTACTACAGAATTTTTTGTAAGAGCGAAAGAGCAGAAGCAATCCAAGTGTTCATCAAAGGTCTGGCTAAATAAACCTGAATTATGTCCGTACAAAGAACACTATACATATTTAAAAGTGGACAGAAGAGAAAAAAAGAATGAGGAAGCTTTCTCAGTACTGATATGGAAAGACTGTAAAATCTACTTTTCAGTGAAAAAAGCAAAGTGCAGTGGGGGGAAGGAACAGTCTTTTCAATAAGTGGTGCTTAGATACATGCAAAAGAATGACACTGATCCTCTGCTTCACACCATATATAAAAATTAACTCAAAATGGATCAAAGATCTAAATATAAGGGCTAAAACTATAAAACTCTTAGAAGAAAAGAAAGATATAAATCTTGTGACCTTGGATGAAGCAATGGTTTCTCAGATATAACACCAAAAGCACAAGCAACAGAATTAAATATAAATTGGGCATGATCAATTTTGTGCTTCATAGGACACCATCAAGAAAGTAAAAAGACAACCCACAGTTGGGAGAAATTTTTTCAAATCATGTATCTGATAAGGGACTTGTATCAAGAATATATAAAAACCATTACAACTCAAAAACAAAAAGACAATCCAATTAAAAATGGGCAAAGGATCTGAAAAGACACTTCTCCAAAGGTGTATAATAAGCATCTTGTTAAAAGATGATCAACACCATCAGCCATCAAGGAAATAGAAATCAAGCCCACAGTGAGACCACTTTACACCCAGTAAATGCCTATAATAAAAGACAGACAAAACAAGTGTGGATGAGGATATAGAGAATTGGAAACCTCATACATTGCTGGTGGGAATGTAAAATCGTACAGCCACTGCAGAAAACAGTTTGGCAGTTCCTCAAATGGTTAAAAATAAACTTAGCACATGATCCAGCGATTACACTAATAAGTATATAACCAAGAGAATTTACTAACACAGTCACAAAAAAACTTGTACAAGAATGTTCATAACAGCATTATTTGTAATAGACAAAAAGTATAAACAACCCAGATGTTTAACTGACAAAGTAATCAATAAAATCTGAGCTACAAAGTACCATTGTATCCCATACAATGAAACATTATACAGCAACAAAAAGAAATGAAGTACTCACACATGCTATAACCTAGATGGACCATGAAAAATTATGCTAAGTAACAGAAGTTAACCACAGGACAACATATTGTATTATTCCTTTATATGATATCCAAAATAGGCAAATCTATAGAGACAGAAAGTAAATTAGTGGTTGCCTAGGATTGAAGAGAATTAGGGGGAGGGGAAGGTAATAGCTAAGGGATATAGAATTTCTTTTTGGGGTAATGGAAATGTTCTAAAATTGACTGTGGTAATAGATGCACAACCCTACAAATACATCGAAAGCCACCAAACAGTAGGCTTTAAATGGGTAAATTGTATGGTACATAATTATATGTCAATAAAGCTGTTTAAAAAAAGTGAAGTACCTATTCACGCTACAACATAAATGAATCTCAAAAACACTATACTAGTGAAAGAAACTAGACACAAAAGATCACATATTGTATGATTCCAATTATATGAAATGTCCAGAACAGGCAAATCTGTAGCAACAGGAAGTTGTACTGGTTGCTAGGAGGTAGGGAGAAGACGGAATGAGGAGTGACTCCTAATGGGCACAAGGTTTCTTTCTGGGGTAGTAAAAATATTTTCTTTCTGGGATAACAAAAATGTTCTAGAATTACATAGTAGTAGTGGTTGCATAACTATGTGAATATACTAAGAACCACTAAACTGTATATATTAAAAGGGTGAATACTATGCTATGTGAATTATACCTCAATTTTAAAAAATTAGGAATGTGAATCAGCTACACTTATCAGTTAATAATAGCATAATATACCAATTCACAAATTTTGAGGTTATCTGATATTTGTGCATATAATTTCATATTTCCCTTTTCTAAAATGCATGATGAAAGCAGTCTTTGGTGCCAATCTATTACCCAAAAGTGAACAAATTAGAATTTCTCAATCAGGAAATTTGGTTTTTCTTCAGGTAAAAGAAAGATTGACAACACTAGTGTTTGTGACTACATCCATAATTAGTCTTAATACCTATATCTTTGACACTTTAAAAATTTATGACTTAAATTCTGGGGTGCTCTTCGGCACTCACAGCAAAGAATAAAAATTACATTCACATAAAAACCTGTGAAATATACATAATTTCTTTATTCATAATAGCCAAAAACTAAACAGCCTGGATGTCCTTCAACAGGTGAATGGTTAAACCAACTATGGTAAGATACTATGAAATACCACTCATCAATAAGAAGGAAATGAACCATCTATACATGCAATAATTTGGAGGAATCTCCAGGGTATTATGCCAAGTGAAAAAAATCCAACCTCAAAAGGTTATATTCTAGTTATATTAACATTTTTGAGTTGACAAAATTATAGACCTGGAAAACAGATTAGGAGTTGTTGGGGATAAGGCATGGAAGGGAGTGGTCAGCAGAGAGGTGGATATGGTTATAAAAGGGCAACATGAGGCATCTTTTTGATGGAACTGTTTAGTACTTTGACCTAGTAATGGATATACCAATCTACACGTACGAAAAAATAGTATAGAACACAGATGAACACAAAAAAACTGGGGGCATTTGAGTAAAATTTATAGATTGTATCAATGTCAATATCATGGTTGGGATAGTATATTACAGTTTTGTGAAATGTTACCATTGGGGAAAACTGTATAAAATGTACAGCTGTGTAGCACTAAACTATGTTTTCTACCTTTACCTTGCATCTACCTACCACTTCAGCATTTTATTAAAAATAATAATAATAATAATAATAATAATAAGAATAATAATAATAA